TTACCCCGGGCTAATGAATATATTTTAGACGAGTTCAAATATCGAGCCGGATATCTATGTGAGGCGGTGTGGCCGGGAGACGGAGAATGGTATCCGGCCAAAGTTATCAGGTTAGTAATATATCTTTTTCCCCCAAGGTTAAGTTTTTTTATTAAGGGTTTTAATTTGGAAAAATAAATGATTTTTAGGAAAAAATATAATATTTTTAGAACAGTTGCAGAAAGGATGATGTCGAATTTTTAACTTTTTGCCCAGATCATCTGACGTCTGAATCTATATATATACTTTTCTTGTCTGCGTGTCTGTCTGTTTGTTTGCATCCAAAAAACGTCAAAACTGGTGAACCGATTGGACACACCTTTTGTGTGGGACCTTACATGACCCCAGGAAAGGTTTATGGATGATCAAAATTTCAAAAACTCACCTTAAAAATTCGATTTTCATCAAACTTTAAAATCTCTGGCATTTTTTTTATAAAATCCGCGAAATCTTTTTCCTATTGTTTACGCTGTATACAAAGAGAAAATGTTCACAATTAAAATAGAAGATAGGCGCCCGGAAAGCCTAGTAATAAAATGAATAATCTCCTCCTGATCCCGGAATTCATGTTTTATTATGGTTCTCTAATATACTCTGTACACTGTATAGGGTGAAAGTATGGAAGCGAAGTGTGATAGTTAGATACAGAGGATTCACAAAGGTACTATTTCAGAGCGCTTCACGCCACTCTTTCTAGGCAAATATCTTCCTTCAAAATCATAATTAATTATTTTGCATTTTTTTTCTCGTGATGAATATTCGTTTATTTTGTGATTATGAAAAAAGTAGGCTGGGTAAACAAATTATTGAAGGACTACTTTAAGAGATTTCGTATTTGCTAACATATTTTTTAATATCACACCACAATTAGCTTTAAAAATTAGGACTAATGCAATTTGATTCCTCCTTTAAGACCTACTGTTTGGTTTAGTTTTAAAAAAAAATGTACAGTCTCTTAAAAAGGACTGTATACGTAATTTGAGTCCCTTTAAGACCTAGAAAACGACCTTATCTTCCATAATATTGATCAGATAAAGGTTTTAAAGGTGTCGTTGTGATTCGGACATTTTCCATCTTTGCATGAAGGGTCACTTGAAATTACGCTGTCAGTCCCTTTAAATTAAAGGTTATGTTATCCTAGGAGGAGGAGGAGGAGGTGGAGGAGAAGAATATTAGACCAAGAATCAGGGAATTATTATCAATAATTAGTTTAAAAGCGATTTTTAATTCATTAAAGGACCTCATGGAGATATTTTTTATCCGATGTTTTTTTTTTGGGTTAAATTTCATAAAAAAAACGCAATTTGGCTTTCTTAATCAATTAAGTTCCACCAGGCTCTTTCCTAATATAACTATTATGTATGATGAAGTTACTTCTGAGGTTGACTAGTACTACCCAAGTAGAACATATTTAGCTAAAATTCAACCAGCCTGGCATAAATTTGCAAATTTTCGGACGTCAGATTAAAGGGATTGTTGACGAAATTAGGTAGATAATTATAAGAATGTTGACGTAATTCTGTAGATTATTAAGAGAATGTTGAAGTAATTAGGTAGATTATTAAGAGAATGTTGACGTAGTTAGGTAGATAATTAAGAGAATGTTGACGTAATTAGGTAGATTATTAAGGGAATGTTGACGTGATTATGTTGATTAATGGGAATGTTGACGTAATTAGGTAGATCATTAAGAGAATGTTGACGTAATTATGTTGATTAATGGGAATGTTGACGTAATTAGGTAGATTAAAGGGAATGTTGACGAAATAAGGTAGATATTGATAAGATTTTAGGAAGCGAAGTAAAACTAAACGAAGATCTGGAAAGAAGAAAAGAAAAATAGAACCCTTGAACCTGGAAGGAATTAACAGAGTTTTCGCATCGGAGAAATAGTCCCAGGATAAGTTATTATTAAATATGTTATTTCAGGCAACATTGGTTGGGAAAATTCATTCAGAGTGACCTATGCTTAGACAATTAAGTTATTTTTTTTTTTTCAGAAAAAAATGAGTTTCTCCAGCGACGAAGTGAATTTTCTTGTCTACCGATATTTACAGGTCAAAACTGATCAATTTGTCTCTGATCATTGATCAATGATCATCATAGTTATCAATGAAAAAACTAGGGGATCCAGGAGGGGGACAATAAACCCTGGACATTGGAGTGATTTTTTTTCGCATTGTTCTTAAGTATTCAACAACATAACTCAGATCGTTTAAATGTATTAAATAAGGTTGGAGCTATTGTTTATAGTATCGTTAATCGTTCTCGACATCCATTTGGGCACTTTGAAATATGAGAATAAATGATTGAACCCTTGATTATAGTTCCGCAGAGCATCTACGAAGAATTAAATTGATCTGAAGGATAAGATGGATATTGGATATTGGATATTGGATAATGCCTAATCCCAATATTCACAACAAAGTTTGGGAACTCTGATTTGGGAACTTCTGTGTTGGAGAATGAATACTCGTAATCCCCATTGCTTGATGTCGATATTCACAGTGGGAACTTATCTTCATCATAGTTTTCTTCCTCCCCTGATCAAAGCTTCCTACAACACCTGGCTGGACACGATTACCATGCAGGATATCGAATAAAGAATAAATAAAAGCGCAGATAAAAAAAATCCGATACCAAACATTTATCCCGATATCCACAATACAAGAGTTCCCAGTTCTGAACATTCACTTTTTTCTTCAGGAATCTGGATTCGTGCATTCAGCCTTTGTATTCGGAGCAGAGTCCTTGATAGCGCAGTCCAATATTAATGGCGCGCTCGTTCCACCTTGCGCGCTCACATCCATTATTCAGAAGGTAAACTTTTTGTTTTTTCTTCTGTTCTTTTTTATTGTCCTTGGTCTTAATTTTTTTCCTCATTTTATCTATCTATCAATGGCGCGCTTGTTTCACATTGCGCACTCACATTTTTTATTGTCCTTAGTTCTTCTCTTAGATGTTTTTCCATCTATCTATCTTTCTATGTGTGATTGCGCAGTCTAATATCAATGGCGCGCTTGTTCCAACTTGCGCGCTCACATTCATTATTCAGAAGGTAAAAACTCCTGTTGAAATATTTCTTTTTATCTTTCTTCAGTCTAGTTAAAGGTACAACTGTCTATTCATCTATCTATCTCTCCATCTAGATATTTATCTATTTATCTCTATCTAGATATTTATCTATCGATCTCTATCTAGGTATTTATCTATCTATTTCTATCTAGGTATTTATCTATCTACCTATCTTTCTATCTATCTATCGACACATCAATCTATTTATCCAGGGATTGATGTATGTACAAGCTGATATGTCTACTAGTGAGGATGGACCTAAAAGATTGATAGATTATCTATCTATCTATCCATCTATATATTTATTTATCTATCTTTCTATTTATCTATCTATCTAGGGATTGATGTATGTAGAAGCTGAGATATCTACTGGTGAAGATGGAACTGAAAGACTTATAGATACTCTTTCTCTTATTGATGCTGTTATGCCAGATGTTGTGTCCAGCCGGAAGCAGGTAACATGGGACTTGGTTAAGTATTTTTTTAGGGGTGTGTATTTTGTTGAAAAATCTTCTTTCCCCCCATGAGTTAGGTAATAGGTATGTTTGCGTGGAGCACACATTTGTTTGGGTTTTATTCGCTGAATTGGGGAAAACAGTAATTTGTATGGAATAATAAATAAGTTTTTGGGTAAATAGTAAAGGATGAAGAAACTTGCATTTTGATGTCCATTTTTAAGCAAAGTAGAGCTGAAAATTTTATAATGAGATATCCTTAATCACGATCACTTAATTTAAGTATCGAATGGACACACTTATGATTTTCTTTTTAAGCCGAATTTTTTCTTGGATATAGTAGACAAAAATCAAATACTGTTTTTTTTTTAAATTTTAAATTTCAAATTTATCGGCTTCATATACGCAATTTTAACTGGTTGAATTTTATACACTTTTCAGGATACAAGTACAAGATTAGGTTAGTCTCGATATTAAGAAAAAGAGAATTTCAATCATTAATCTCAATATCCACCATTCTTCAGCTCAGATAAAACAAAGAGAAATAGCAAAAAGTTCGTAGACGTGTGGTATTAACAACAATACTTAATTATATCTTATACAATCTATTAACATTGTAAAAAGGAAAAATTGCATATTTTCCCTCGGATCTTCAAAATCTTAAAAATGTTCACCTCTGGGATTAAACTACTCCAATGACCCCTAATGGATTGTAGTAGACTTAAGTTCAACCGCAGTTTAGGCGCACAAGAGAAATTGCTAAACAAAGTATTCTTTGTTCAGAAACATATATTCTTGCTCCTAGATTTTATTTCTTTTTTTCCTACACTCATTTTTTCCTACACTCATTTTTTCCTGCTTTTTTTTCCTACACTCATTTTTCCTACACTAATGTTTTCCTACACTCATTTTTTCCTACACTCATGTTTTCCTACACTCATGTTTTCCTACACTCATGTTTTCCTACACTAATTTTTTCCTTCACTCATTTTTTCCTACACTCATGTTTTCCTACACTAATTTTTTCTACACTAATTTTTTCCTACACTCATGTTTTCCTACACTCATGTTTTCCTACAATCATGTTTTCCTACACTCATGTTTTCCTACACTAATTTTTTCCTTCACTCATTTTTTCCTACTCATTTTTTCCTGCTTTTTTTTCTACGCTCATTTTTCCTACACTCATTTTTTCCTACACTCATTTTTTCCTACACTCATTTTTCCCTACACTCATGTTTTCCTACACTAATTTTTTCTACACTAATTTTTTTCTACACTCATGTTTTCCAAAACTCATGTTTTCCTACACTAATTTTTTCCTACACTCATGTTTTCCTACACTTATTTTTCTAATTTTTTCCTACACTCATGTTTTCCTACACTCATGTTTTCCTACACTCATGTTTCCTACACTCATGTTTTCCTACACTCATGTTTTCCTACACTAATTTTTTCCTTCACTCATTTTTTCCTACACTCATGTTTTCCTACACTAATTTTTTCCTACACTAATTTTTTCCTACACTCATATTTTCCTACACTCATGTTTTTCTACACTAATTTTTTCTTTCACTCATTTTTTCCTACACTTATTTTTTCCTTCACTCATTTTTTCCTACACTCATTTTTTCCTACACTCATTTTTTCCTACACTCATTTTTTCCAACACTCATGTTTTCCTACACTCATGTTTTTCTACACTCATGTTTTCCTACACTCATTTTTTCCTTTACTCATTTTTTCAACACTCATTTTTTCCTACACTCATTTTTTCAACACTCATTTTTTCCTACACTCATTTTTTCCTACACTCATTTTTTCCTACACTCATTTTTTCCAACACTCATTTTTTCCTTCACTCATTTTTTCCTACACTCATTTTTTTTTACACTCATTTTTTCCTACACTCATGTTTTCCTACACTCATTCTCCTACACTCATTTTTTTCTTCGATAATTTTCATCTTTAATGTGGATTCAAGTTTTTTTCTAATAAGGAAAATGAACGAGCTTTGGTCGAAGCAATTATTTTTTAAAATTATTTTATCAATTAATTTTAAATAATTAATTAATCAATGTAGGTTGAGAGTGGAGGTAAACCTCCAGTAAAGGTTGAAGGGGAGGAACCTCCACCGGTGGAGACTACTCCAGCAGAACCAATGGAGGTAAATAAATCAATCAATTAATTAATTAATTATGATCTGAAAAGGAGTAAAAGCCCCCACCCCCATCTCCTTAATATGTTTTTTGTGCTTTTAATGTGTGCTAATGCTCGATTTATATCAGTCAATTTTTGGAGAGAAAGTTTAAAAAAAGGCTAAGAACAGAAGTCCCTTTTTAATTCTTAATTTTCGACTTTCTTGTCCATTTCTTAATTTTTTAATTTCTCCTTGATGTTTTATTGTAATTGATCAAAAAAACTAACAAACATATTTTTCCAAGTATAATTTTTTTTCATTTTTACTTTTTTGGAAATACTTTTCTTCAGGAAAAACTTGTTCTTTCATTACATTTTCTTCATATTTTGATTTGTAAGAAGAAGAATAACAAGTAGATGATTGATGTAAGCTGTGCTGGGATCCGCAAAATTTTGGCTCTATTTATCCGGATTCGGAAAGATCCACGGATTCGGTCCCAAGGGGAGAAATATTATCAAAAAACTTGTTAAATTTTTTCCTCTCAAAACTCAAATCCGAATTGTTGAATAAAGAGGGAGTATTAAAAAGTTCCTTATCCTTATGAATGGTTCATCAAGTTCAAAAAAAAAGAAAAAGAATTTAACAATTAATCTTTAATCTTTTGTTTAAAAAATCAGATCCGCATCAAAATGAAATAGATCTTAGGCACTGGATGTATGCTTTATTGTTAAGATAAATTTCATTTGCCCTTTAAACATAAAAAATTTGCTCAAGGTTGAAATGGGACTTGAGATACCGTTCGAGAAGGCACAAGTGTTGAAGGGACACGACAGTGAGGTAAATAGTCTGCCATCCTATTTCAATTTCTTATTTCCAGATTCTTTCTTTTTATTCATGTTTCCAGCATTTCATTCTTTCATTTATAAGGGTCAAATTGTTAAATCAGGGTGAAGTAATCTAATCAAGCTTTTCACATCATTTGAAACTACAAGGTGTCTCAAAAAAACGGGGAATAAGGGTTTACAGACTCGGGTGTAATCTGATTTTCAAAATTAAGAACATTCTTTAAATATACGTTTAATTTTTTACTAACAAGTCCATAGATCCTTATGCAAAATTGTGTTAACGGAGATTTTCTATATTTTTACCAAATTTACTCACTCCAGTTGGAAAATTTATGAGCCTATAAAATTGCCATTTTTAGATCTACAAGCCTCAAATATCTAGGTATTTATCTGTGCCTGGAATCCGGAACAGGATCTGCTAGCATCCGGTTCCGGTGATTCAACAGCAAGGATATGGAATATGACACAGGTCAACTTTTTATATAAGCAAAAAAACCGGTTTTTTGCAAGATTTCTGGCCGTAAATGAAACAATTTAGAAATGTCGATAAACGAACAAATGAGCAGTATTTTGCGGTTCAAGACGCATCTTTCATACCCATAACTGATCACAGGCAGCCGTATTACGTTTGTATTTCCGAGCCATGTCAACCTTTTCGTTCCCAGTTTGTACTGTATCGCCCGGACATTGGGTAAATAAAGCAGGCACTCAAAAGGACTAGCCGGTGCAACAAGGTTGACGCGGTTAAACTTTAGGTTGAATTTACTTTTACTAAAAGATCAGAGGTGCGTGGAACAGCATGTGTTTGAAAATATGATCGCTGTTTATTTAAATCGTTTAATATTACTGAATGAGTTTCAATTTTTTTCAATTTTTTTCTTTTAGAAATTCTGCTGCCGTATGATATTTTGCTGCTGCAAAAAGAAAGGGTCTGACATTTTTGATGAAATAGTTTCACCCTTATTTTAATCAAATATTTTCTTCCCCCCTTCTCCCATTAATAAAACAAAAATTTTGGGATGACCTCATGATGCTATATCGATTAAACTAACGTTCAATTGGACTATAGTCAGCTATTCACAAACCGGTTTTCTCTATTTTAACATTATTGCAAATAAAATAAAAACAAATTCACGACGTTCAAATAAAATAATCCTAAAATATTTAAGATTAAATCCTACAACTTCTCGTATAAAATTGAAACGATATAATTTTTAGAAAATTGAAAAACTAAACTCAGGGCTATTGCCCTTAAGATCTTTATCGATTTAGAATATATATTTAATTTTTCTTTATATGCAATTAATTGCAGGGGGATGCTCATGTTACAGTATTCTATATATGCAATTAATTGCAGGGGGATGCTCATGTTACAGTATTCTATATATGCAATTAATTGCAGGGGGATGCTCATGTTACAATATTCTATATATGCAATTAATTGCAGGGGGATGCTCATGTTATAGTATTCTATTTATGCAATTAATTGCAGGGGGATGCTCATGTTACAGTATTCTATATATGCAATTAATTGCAGGGAGATGCTCATGTTACAGTATTCTATATATGCAATTAATTGCAGGGGGATGCTCATGTAACAGAATTCTATATATGCAATTAATTGCAGGGGGATGCTCATGTAACAGTATTGAAGCATTGTATAAAGATGGAGGGAAAGGAGGTTCCCAGCAACAAAGATGTGACCTCATTAGGAAATTAATCAATTTATATTTCCTTTTATTGATCAAGAACGCATGTGATATCCAGTATTTTCTAGTTTAAAATTGTGCTTGCTTTATGAAAAATTCAGAAAAATGTCGGAAATGAACTATTTTTAAGCGAAAAAACGACTCATCGACTAAATCTTATACATTGATCAGTTAAAGGGGTGATGAAAAAGTAAAAAAAAATGGGGTAACGTTTAGAGTCGAGCATATCCCTCTTAAAATGGAGTCGAACTTTATTAGCCTGCTGTCATTGTGCGAAACCAAGGGGCATTTCTACCCCCCCCCCAAAAAAAAAACGTTAATTGGCAAGGTTTAAATTTTTTTATTAAGGTCAATTTTTTAATTAATTGATTGATTGATCTTGAAGACTGGAACTGTCACGGGAATCTACTGGCTACAGGATCTTACGATGGTTTTGCTAGAATCTGGACAACTAGTGAGTACATAGAGTACACGGGTTGATTGGGTACCTGGGTTCATTGAGTACATGGGCTTATAAAGTACACGCTGGTTCACGGGTTTATTGTGTACATTGGTTTATAAGTTAGTGTTCAATGTTCATAGAGTTCAAAGAACGCACGGATTAATGGAGTACATGGGTTCGTGAAGAAGTACATAGATCATTAAGTGAAAACAATTATAGAGAACAGAGAATATTTGTTTTTTTTTTAGTACAGGTGTTCAGAGTACACGGACTTCAGAACATATGATCACAAAGTGCACAGTTCTTATATTACACTATTCAAAAATGCTATTGGCGAAAAAATATATTCTTTTGTGCAAGTTTATATTCATGTTGCGAAAACATACATTTTCATGGCAAAAATATATATTCTTTTTGTGGGAAATGCATTAATTTGCGTAATTATATATTCTTTTTGCGAATGTTTATTTTTTTAATCTTTTTGTGAAATTGTATATTCTTATTTTGAAAATATATATTCTTTTAGTAAAATCTACATTATTTTATCACCCTATCACGTGACTTATTTCAGCTGGTAAGCTTGAGAAAACACTGGGTCAGCACAAGGGTCCAATATTTGCTCTGAAATGGAACAAAAACGGAAAATATATTCTTTCAGGTGACATTAGATATTCTCTATTCGATTGATTGATTGATAAATTAATAGTTTTATTTGTTCAATGAGCAATATAAAATGATTTGATTTATTTATTTCTATCCTGTTTTATGATTGATACAATAATTTGATTCTGAAATATACGATTGACTGATAGTTGGTTGTTTGGTTGGTCAATAGGTCGACTGATTTCTTGACTGATAGTTGATTTTTTTATTTGTTTGTTCGGGGAATGATCGATTGATTGATTGATTGATTAATTGAATAATTGATTAGTTACTTTGTTGATTGATTAGATGGAGTTTGATTGATCTATTGATTCATGTATTGATTGATGTACTGATTGTTTGATTGATTGGATGAAGTTTTATTTTTTGATTGATTGCTGCATTGATGGTTTGATGATTGATTGATTGGTTGATTGATTGATGTATTTTTAGCTGGAGTTATCGTACGACTATTATCTGACTGATTGATTAATCATTGCTTGAATGACTGAATGTTTTTAAGTGATTGATTTGGTCGAATAAATAAGCGAAAGTGGTTCGTTGATTGATTGATTGCTTAATTAATAGTTCGTTTTTGGATGATTTTTATTTATTGATTGATTGATTGTTTAGTTTAGTGTTTGATTTGCACGATTAAATAATTAGTGGATGGATGATTGATTTATTAATGTTTAATTGATAATTGATTGATGATATATTGAGATTGATGTTTAGCTGGAGTTGACCGTACGACTATTATTTGGGATGCGAGCACAGGAAGCTGTAGACAACAGTTTGCTTTCCATTCAGCACCAGCTTTAGGTACTGGGGCCGGGGGGGGGTTATCAAATCCTTCCAGGTTAGATAGATATAGATAGATACAGATACAGATACAGATACAGATACAGATACAGATGCAGATGCAGATGCAGATGCAGATGCAGATGCAGATGCAGATGCAGATGCAGATGCAGATGCAGATGCAGATTCAGATGCAGATGCAGATGCAGATGCAGATGCAGATTCAGATGCAGATGCAGATGCAGATGCAGATGCAGATGCAGATGCAGATGCAGATGCAGATGCAGATGCAGATGCAGATGCAGATGAGATGCATGAGTTTCGTTCTCAAAAATATCGTTCATTTTCCACCTATTTCTTTCGTTTTCTCAATCCAATTCGTTCGTCCATTGTTCTTTTTTTCTGAACAACACCATCGTTCACATGAAATTTTGTTCGTTTTCAAATAATTTCTTTTTTTCACAAAAACGATGCTCATCTCTACCTTTAATATTGATTAGGGTCACACTAATGAGGTGAATGCTATCAAATGGGATCCACAGGGGAAGTTCCTAGCCTCGTGCAGTGACGATATGTCATTAAAGGTAAAATTTGGCCATTTTTCTTTTATTGATTTATCAATAATTTATTTCCTGATAATTGATGTATTTATTGATCCAATTATTAAACAAGTGATTGTTCTAATTTGAATAGAGGATTTATGCGTGTATTGATTGTTTGGTTGATGGAGAAATCTGAAAAATTGAATGAGTCATTGTTGCTGAATGATTCTGTTAGACTTATTTTATTCTAATTGATATCGATTTATTCTGACTAATTTCGATTAATTCTGATTGATTTCCACTGATTCTGATTGATTCTAGTTGATTCATGTTGATTCAGATTAATTCAATATGATTATGTTTGAATCCGATAGACTTTGATTAACTTCGATTCATTCTTAGCGATTTAAATAGATTCTGATTGATTCTTCTTAAATGTTATTTACTGATATTAATAGCTTTCTATAGTTTGTTTATTCTACACTGTACACAAGGATTTAAAGAACGAATTGATTTGATTTGATTTGATTTGATTTGATTACAATGCCTAGATCTGGAGTATGGACAAGGATACCTGTGTCCATGACCTGCAGGCGCATCAGAAGGAAATTTATACAATTAAATGGAGTCCAACAGGTTACCCTCTCCTTGATTTATTCTCTATTTAAGTCACTGTTGTCGTTATTTTATATTAACACTGTAAACTCAGATTCATTTGAAGTAGCGGACCGACCTGTAAACCAGCTTGAACAAGTAGTACAGACTTTATAAGGGACACCGGGACAGTACAACTTCACAGGAACCAGCTTGAACAAGGTGTACAGACTATATAAGGGACACCGGGACAGTACAACTACACAGGAACCAGCTTGAACAAGTTGTACAGACTTTATAAGGGACACCGGGACAGTACAATTACTCAGGAACCAGCTTGAACAAGTTGTACAGACTATATAAGGGATACCGGGACAGTACAACTACACAGGAACCAGCTTGAACAAGTTGTACAGACTATATAAGGGATACCGGGACAGTACAACTTCACAGGAACCAGCTTGAACAAGTTGTACAGACTATATAAGGGATACCGGGACAGTACAACTACACAGGAACCAGCTTAAACAAGTTGTACAGACTTTATAAGGGACACACACAGGAACCAGCTTGAACAAATTGTACAGACTATATAAGGGATACCGGGACAGTACAACTATACAGGATGAATCATTCACTTTTTGCAAGGGAGTTAGATGTGTGAAGGGGCTTGTCCGATTCATAACAGTACTCTTTAACTCTTTTTCTAATCAAACACGACTTTTTTCCATCTTTAAATTTGATAATTTTACATTTGTGGTCTGTTTTCTTTAAACAATGTTTAGGGATTTATATATTTTATTGAATGATGGCTTTTCAGCTACCAATATTAATAGGAGAGAATTCAACACATTTTCAGATCGACAAATCTTTCTCATTAATCTAGGTCTTAATATTAACAACCCTAACTCCTATAAACTAATCTCGGACCTGGAACAACTGTAACTCCTATAAACTAATCTAGGACCTGGAACAACTGTAACTTCTATAAACTAATCTAGGACCTGGAACAATTCTACCTCTTATAAACTAGTCTAGGACCTGGAACAACTCTAACTTCTATAAACTAATCTAGGACCTGGAACAACTCTAACTTCTATAAACTAATCTAGGACCTGGAACAACCCTAACTTCTATAAACTAATCTTAAGGACCTGGAACAACCCTAACTTCTATAAACTATTCTAGGACCTGGAACAACTCTAACTTCTATAAACTAATCTAGGACCTGGAACAACCCTAACTACTATAAACTAATCTAGGACCTGGAACAACCCAAACTCCTATAAACTAATCTAGGACCTGGAACAACCCTAACACCTATAAACTAATCTAGGACCTGGAATACCCCTAACTCCTATAAACTAATCTAGGGCCTGGAATTACTCATACTCCTATAAACTAAGCTAGGCCTGGAACACCTCTAACTTCTATAAACTAATCTAGGACCTGGAACGAATAACCCTAACTCTCCCCTGGTGCTAGCGTCTGCTAGTTTTGACTCCACTGTCCGACTATGGGATGTTGAGAGAGGAACCTGTACCCATACTCTCACTAGGCACAAGGAGCCTGTATACTCCGTAGCATTCAGTCCGGATGGAAAATATTTAGCCAGTGGAAGCTTTGACAAGGTGACCTTTAAGGATTTTTAGTTTTTTAGATTTTGACCTTAAAGGATTTTGAAATTTTTAGAGTTTACAATCTGAAAATGTGACCTTGAAGAAATTTAAATGTTCCAGATTTTAATATTTGACAAGAGTGGTATTTAAGGATTTTAGTTTTTTAGATTTTACTTACTGACAAGGGGTCCTGTAAGAAGTTTTAGTTTTTAGATTTCATATTTGACAAAGTGAGATTAAAGAAATTTGAACTTTTTAGATTTTAATATCTGCCAGGGGGTCTTACTCCTGTAACGAGTTAAAGTTTTTAGATTTTATATGTGACAAAGCTACTTTGAAGAAATTTGAATTTTTTAGATTTTAATTTCTGACAGAGTGATATTTATGGATTTTAGTTTTTTTAGATTTTACTATCTGACAAGGGGACCTATAAGAAGTTTCAGTTTTTAGATTTCTATATTTGACTACGTACGTAACCTTGAAGAATTTTAAGTTTTTAAGATTTTAATATTTAATCAAGATTTCCTGTAATACTTTTTAGGTATTTTAAAGACCGATAATTTTTTATCGGATAATTTTCCGATTATCGGCATCTTTATGATTAACTAGCTCAAGTGCTTGCCGTTGCCCGTGGAATTTTGAAGAAAAAATTTTAAATTTTGAAAGAAAAGACTTAGAACTTTGAAAAAAAGACTTTGAATTTTGAAAAAAAAAAATAATTTAAAATTTTGAAAAAGTTCTAATTTTTTTGCCTATGTTACCCCCCCCCCCTTGGCCAGCTATAGCTAACATATTAATGTATATAGATGAGGGAAGAGCTTTGTTATACAGATTGATTACAAATCAGGGTACAATTTTAAATTAGTAAAGTCATATTTTGAATTTGCAGAATGGAAGTAGGATAGCCCTTACAGTCTGATTTGATAAATTAATTATTTTGATTTTATATGTTTAGTGTGTTCATATTTGGAGTACACAGTCGGGTCAGCTGGTTCACTCATACCTTGGTACTGGAGGAATATTTGAGGTAATTATGCCACCCTAGTATTCACTTTTTAACATTTACTCCACCCTAATATTTATATTTAATCATACCTACCTACCTACCTACCTACCTACCTACCTACCTACCTACCTACCTACCTACCTACCTACCTACCTACCTACCTACCTACCTACCTACCTGCCTACCTACCTACCTACCTACCTAGGTTTGCTGGAACTCCCGAGGGGACAAAGTTGGAGCATCAGCCTCTGACGGAACTGTTTTCGTTCTTGACCTGAGGAAGTAGAGTGTTAATACCGCAGGCTGTCTTGAAGCTTAGGATTGAGGATTGAGAAATGTTAAGACTTATCTTCTCCTGACTTGTTATTTGTTGTTAAATATCTTTTATACATAAAGTTTTAAACATGAATTTTCCCAGTTAAAAAAAAATAGAATTCACGCATTTTCATGAAAAAAAGAAGAAAAAACATTCCCTTTTGTGAAAAATCCAGTTTTCCTCTGTTGTTTTTTCTCTCTCTCTCAACTAAATGAGTTTGGATTGATATATATAGATAATAAATCCTTATCGATTGATTGATTGATTTATCTATTAATTGATTAATTGTAAACAATGAGTCTTATGTTCGTAATATTGCATTCGTACCTGATGTATTTATGTTGATGTAGTCCAGGGGTGCATTTCTTATGGAGCGGGGAATCTACTGAACATTTTTGACTAGAACTGGAAAATATGAATTTCCCATTGATTTAAAAGAATATTAGTTAATTTCCATTATTTTCTTATATCTTGGTAAAAGTAACTAGGATTATTTGTACCCCTTTTACCTCTTGTATCTATCTTGTTTGTTAAATTTGAAAGCAGTAAATAAATTATGTTATTTTTAAATAAAAAAGCTTTGTTACAAAATACAAATTTTCTTATATTATTTCATTTTACTAACCTTGTACTGTGTACACGTCCTGTCAGTGTAAATGTTTACTTACTGAATTGTGGATTTTTCCAGATTTAAAATTTTCAAAATGGCTTATCAATTGAAACCAGTTTGAACCAGCTCAAAACTAGTTTTAATCCAAAATGGCGGACCAGCAGAAAGCGCCCCCGCTGCAGCAGCAGCAGCAAATCATGAACAGGTTAGTCAAGTTAGTGTTAAAGTAGTTCGGACGTTGACAATTTGACATTTTTTTAGAGGATTTCATCAAATTATTAATCTAAGACTGTACTGTACATTGTCAGGGTGTATCATTTCCCTCCCCACTTTTTAAAAATCATTTTTCCCCAAGAAAATTTGTATGTTTGCATTTAGCATAATTTTTGTTTAATGGTTTTATTCGTCTAGTTTGAGAAAATAAATTATTTTGAGGGGAAAATGATTGAAAGTTGGTATAAAAAGTAACAAAAAGAATGAAAAAAGTTGCATTATTATGTCTGCAATTTCTCGCTTTTCTCCCCCAACTAATATAAAATCATTTCCTGAGACGCATCGCTAGATCTTATTACCCATATGAGCATGTCTTCATAATTATTTTTCTAACGGCAATGTTGAAATTATATTTGCATGTAGCAATTTCAATATCCAGAAAAATATATCCTATTCTAATTCATATATTTAGATTGACATAAAGCAAAAAACCGAGATTCCGAACATATTTTTAAAATGTATTGATAAAATAATTAAAAACTGGTAAACCTATTTTTTGTGACTTTATTTATTGAATAGCGAGTTGGATTCACAACGGTACCATGACCTTTTAAACCGTTGATAAGTGTACAATTCTTGTAAATTCCTCCAATTGTTCACGCAAGCTATTAAAGAGGACCGGAATCAAAAATAGTCAATTTTAAGAAATAACTTGAAAATACGTCTACAGTTCCTTTAGTTTAAATTCAGGTTTGTCCCCCCCCCCCCTTTTTTTAGGGTTTTATTTGCAGAATAGGGGGAAATGAAATTATGTATATCAGCAGATTCCAGTAAAAGAGTGGACCTGAGCTTGCAAAAAATATACTAACGGCTTTTTGCAGGGATGTCACAAAAAGTTCTTTTATCTCTATTTCAAAATTAGCCGTAAAAGAACAAGAGACTTGGGAAATACAGAGATTGCTAACAACCAGCAGCTGTTATCATCTGATGATTTATACTTCGTAAAAAATTTAAAAAAATAAAAAATGTCAAAAAGAGAGCAATTAAAAAAAAATTCGAGTGAAATGTATTAAAAAGGATGAAAAAAATGTCTTGATAAAAATGTTATAATAATTAAACCTAGGTTTGCCTCTGAGCTGAAATCTAAAAACGAAAACGTGAGAAACAAGGCAGCCAAGGATCTTCATTCTTATGTTTCAACCGAACTACGCGAAGTGTCACAGGTATATACATAAATCTATATCAACCCGAACTACGTGAAATGGCCCAATTGATGATAAAGTAATATATCAAACAAACTACGTTAACTGAACTACGTGAAGTATCCTAGGTAAAAAGAAAGTACTACATTAACTGAACTACGTGAAGTATCCTAGGTATATACAAAATACTACATTATCTGAACTAAGTGAAGTATCCTAGGTAAACACAAAGTACTAAATCAACCAAACTTCGTGAAGTATCCTAGGTAAATACATGTAGCACATCAACCAAACTACATGAGGTATCCCAGGTATATACAGAGAACTATATCAACCGAACTACTTGAAGTGGCCCATAAAAATAGATAGTTCTAAATCAATCAAACTACGTTAATTCTCCGAGTAAAATTCATGTTACTGCAAATCGTGATCTTTCATAGATACTGCTGCATAAACTAAGTTACGACAGCTACGAGAATGTGTTAAAATTGTTAATTTGTTTATTTAAATTGTTAATTTCAGGAAGAGTTAAATTCTTTTCTCGATGATTTTAACCATTACATCTTCGAGGTAGTTCATTTATACGTTATATATGCGTGACAAATGTTTGATTTTGATCGATTTTGATTGATCCTGGATTTGAATGATTGATTGATTTTTATTTTGCTGATGATTGTTAGTAATTGATTAAACGATTGATTAATTGATCTAGATGGTTTCTGATTATACCTCTGCTAATCTGGGATGTTTACTTTCTAAAGTTGCATTATTGATTGATTGATTAATTGGTGTGATTTGATTTGATTGATTGATTAATGTTTTTCCCCCCTTTACTCTACTCTATCCAAGTTTTTTTTAGTTTTTTACATTTTTTTACCTCTGTTCATCGAAGAATAAATTTTGACGAGAATTTTGTGATCAATTAGACTGATTGATTGACTGATATTTGATGTGATTTGATTGATTGATTATTTAATTTAATTTTATTGATTGATTGATCAATGTGATTTGATTGATTGATTGATTGATCTAGATGGTGTCTGGTGACACCTCTGCTAAGCTGGGAGGTATTCTAGCTATAGTTGCTCTCATGAATGCTGATGTATGCAACACTGGAACTAGAATATCAAGGTGTGTAATCTTCAGCTTGGGATCCAATCCAGTTCTTTGGATACAATTTAATTTAGATCTTGGGATCCAATTCAAATCTTAGGATCCAATCCAGGTTTGCGGATCCAATTCAGATCTTTGAATTTCAACAAGCACAATGTCAAGGTTGTTTTTACATCCATTTTTAATTTACATTTTCGTCATCTATCCTACTCTATTCATTAATAAAGTTCTCTACAATCAATTTGGAAAGAGGAGAAGTTTGAGCTTTCTAGTGCAAGCAGTTTAAAAGAATTTAAAAAATAACCCCCCCCCCCATCCCACACATTTTTTCAAAAATTATTATTTTTTAGATTTGGAAATTATTTGAGGAACAATTGTCTGGCACAGGCAAACTCTCTAGATTTGTCTGTTATAGAGCTGGCAACTAAAGCAATTGCCAGGCTGACACAGGTTAGTCTATTCCTTAATCTCTAGATATTTATAGAGCTGGCAACTAAAGCAATTGCCCGAATTACACAGGTTAGTCTATACCTTAATCTCTAGATATTTATAGAGCTGGCAACTAAAGCAATGGCCAGGCTGACACAGGTTAGTCTATTCCTTAATCTCTAGACATTTATAGAGCTGGCAACTAAAGCAATTGCTAGGCTGACACAGGTTAGTCTTTCCTTAATCTCTAGATATTTATAGAGCTGGCAACCAAAGCAATTGCCAGGCTGACACAGGTTAGTCTATTCCTTAATCTGTAGATATTTATAGAGCTGGCAACTAAAGCAATTGCCAGGCTGACACAGGTTAGTCAATTCTTTAATCTCTAGATATTTATAGAGCTGGCAACTCAAGCAATTGACAGGCTGACACAGGTTAGTCTTTCCTTAATCTCGAGATATTTGTAGAGCTGGCAACCAAAGCAATTGCCTGGCTGACACAGGTTAGTCTATTCCTTAATCTGTAGATATTTATAGAGCTGGCAACTAAAGCAATTGCCAGGCTGACACAGGTTAGTCTATTCCTTAATCTCTAGATATTCATAGAGCTGGCAACTAAAGCCATTGCCCTACTAACACAGGTTGGTTTAGTCTTTTTCTTAACTTCTATCTATTTATCATCTGTTTATCTATTCATCTATTTATCTATCTATTCTATATATCTTGATATCCATCCATCTATCTATCTATTCATATGTTTTTAATGTTTATCTATTTTTTTATATTATATCCATATATTTATTTATCTATCTATTTATATCTCTATATTTATCTATTAATCCAGGTTTCGGGAACGTACACCGCAAACCTGAAGTTTGATTTTATTGACTACGAAGTCAAGAAAGCTTTTGAATGGCTGTCAGCTTCAGAGAGAAACGAAGGTAATTCTTTTTCTATTTTTATCCTAGTGTATCCTAGTGTATCCTAGTGTATCCTAGTGTATATATCCTATTGTATCCTAGTGTAATTATATTTTTAAATAATTGTATCTTTGTATCCGTTATTATTTTAGTGTTGTAATATTTGAAACTTGTATCCTGGAATCCTTGTATTCTTGTACTCTTGTACCCTAGTATTCCTTGTATCCGTGTGCTCTAGTATTCCTTGTATTCTTGTATCCTTGTATCCTTGTATCCTTGTATCCATGTATCCTTGTATTCTTAAATCCTTGTATTCTATAACTTAATATTCCTGTATCCATGTATCCATGTACCCTTGCATCCTTGGTTTTTTAGCGTTGTATTATTTTATACTTTTAACCTGGAATCCTTGTATCCTTGAATTCTTGTATCCTGGAATTCTTGTATCCTTATATCCTGGAATCCTTGTATCCTTGTATCCTGGAATTCTTGCCTCCCTGCATCCTGTCATCCTTTCATCCTTGTATCCTTGTACCCTTGTATCCTTGTATCCTTGTATCCTTGTATCCTTGTTTCCTTGTATACTTGTATCCTTGTATCCTTGTATCCTTGTATCCTTGTATCCTTGTATACTTGTATCCTTGTATCCTCGTTTTCCTTGTATCCTATTATCGTTGTATCCTAGTATCGGTGTATCCTTGTATACCCTATCGATCTATTTATCCTTATCTATCTATCTATCTATCTATCTATCTATCCATCTATCCATCCATTCATCTATCTATCTATCTTGCTATCTATCTCTATCTATCTATTTATCTATATATCTATCTATCTATCGATCTAGGGAGAAGACATACCGCTGTTCTTGTACTGCGTGAGATAGCATACACAATGCCTACATTTTTCTTCCAGAACGTTCATACATTCTTTGAGGTTTGACAGATTTATGTTCTCAATTATTCATTCATTCTAATTAATTAATTGTTTGACATTCTTCTATATTTTTTATTTCTGTAATTTAGATTTTTTACGTTTATAAAAAATCTTCAACCCGCATTCATTATTCATTTATTCATTCATTCATTTATTCGTAGCGTTCATTTATTCATTCATTTATTTATTCATTTATTCATTTATTCATTTATTCATACCAGCATTAATTTATTTATTCATTTATTCATTCCAGCGTTCATGCATCCATTCAATTATCTTTTCATTCATTCATGCATTCATTTATTAATTCATTCATTCATCCTTGCATCTCTTTATTCTTTATTCTCTTTATGGTGTTTTTTCTTTTCTACCTATTCTAGCCATTAAAGCCGGATCGCTTCACGTACGAGGGTGCTAGAGCGTCGGGAAACCCGTCGGTCGCAGGGTGCAATAAAAACTACAAAAATTAAATTAAATTCAAAATGCAGTGAATTTGCTCAGTCTTCACCCTTTTTGTCTAGGTTATATTCTGCGCTATTCTGGACCCAAAGCCACAATTGCGCGAGAGCGCTACTAACGCGCTTAGAATGGCGCTTTGGGTCACTGCACAAAGAGAAACAAGCGCGGCAGTTAGACAACAAGGTTAGTGAATGCTTCAGTACGTCAAACTAAAGTAAAACTTAGATTAAAACCTTTTTTCAATCATATCTCCTCTTATTGAAGAGTGTTTGAGAAGAACAAAAATGTTTTAAAAATTTTATAAGTAACTGAATTAAATTGCTTTTCTCATACTAGTGCTTTCAACCAAAACGGTTCCAGTACAAACATCATTCGTTTTCCCAGTGAACCACCGTTTAATAAAATCGTTCTTTCAGTAAAAAACTATCGTTTTTTAAAAAATTTGTAGGAAAAATTCATTTGTTCAGTAAAAAAACAATCGTTTTTTATTTACAAAAAAATTAGTTCGTTTTCATAAATTATGCCCATCTCTAAGTCCCTGAATGATGCCCATCTCTAAGTCCCTGAATGATGTCCATCTCTAAGTCCCTTAATGATGTCCATCTCTAAGTCCTAGAATGATGTCCATCTCTAAGTCCCTGAATGATGCCCATCTCTAAGTCCTAAAATGATGCCCATCTCTAAGTCCTTGAATGTTGTCCATTTCTAAGTCCCTGAATGATGCCCATCTCTAAGTCCCTGAATGATGCCCATCTCCAAGTCCCTGAATGATGCCCATCTCTAAGTCCCTAAATGATACCCATCTCTAAGTCCATGAATGATGCCCATCTCTAAGTCCCTGAATGATGCCCATCTCTAAGTCCCTGAATGTTGTCCATCTCTAAGTCCCTGAATAATTTCCATCTCTAAGTCCCTNGAATGATGTCCATCTCTAAGTCCCTTAATGATGTCCATCTCTAAGTCCTAGAATGATGTCCATCTCTAAGTCCCTGAATGATGTCCATCTCTAAGTCCCTGAATGATGCCCATCTCTAAGTCCCTGAATGATGCCCATCTCTAAGTCCTTGAATGTTGTCCATCTCTAAGTCCCTAAATGATGTCCATCTCTAAGTCCCTAAATGATGCCCATCTCTAAGTCCTCTGAATGATGTCCATCTCTAAGTCCCTCAATGATGCCCATCTCTAAGTCCCTGAATGTTGTCCATCTCTAAGTCCTTGAATGATGTCCATCTCTAAGTCCTTGAATGTTGTCCATCTCTAAGTCCCTGAAAGCTGCCTATCTCTAAGTCCCTGAAAGATGCCCATCTCTTAGTCCCTGAATGATATCCATCTCTAAGTCATTGAATGATGCCCATCTATAAGTCCCTGAATGATGCCCATCTCTAAGTCCCTGTATGATGTCCATCTCTAAGTCCCTGAAAGATGCCCATCTCTAAGTCCCTGTATGATGTCCATCTCTAAGTCCCTGAATGAAGCCCATCTCTAAGTCCCTGAATGATCTCTATCTCTAAGTCCCTGAATGATGCCCATCTCTAAGTCCCTAAATGATGCCCATCTCTAAGTCCCTGAATGATGCCCATCTCTAAGTCCCTGAAAGATGCCCATCTCTAAGGCCCTCTAATGTTAAGGTCAGCAGGGATGGTATTCACACTGTTATGAGGAGGCAATGTCAGGACTACAGGATACTCAGCAGAATAAAAATATTAAAGGAATCAATCATAATCAATTTAAATTAGTCACAATCTATTCAAATCAATTACAATCTATACAAATCAATTACAATCTATTCAAATCAATTACAATCTATTCAAATCAATTACAATCAATTCGGAGCTATTCAAATCAATTCATATGAAATCAGTTTGAATCAATTGGATAAATTTAAATTTTTATGGTTTGAAAGAATTTATTTTGTGGAAAACAAAGGTTTGGTGGTTGACTGATTTTTCAAGTTGATTGATTGATTGATAGTTTAAATCAAATAGATTCTAGTACAATAGATGGCAACGTATAATTTTTACACTCTCAGTACAGTTGTATTCTGTCGTCACAAGTGTCAATTCAGTTTGTGTGTCCGACAAAATCATCAATAATAGTGATAATTTTAGAATAAAGTGCTTTTTTTACAGTAAATTATTTTATGTGTTCTTTAGTTTCTGTTTTTACACGTTTTTATCTAATCTTGGGAAACATATCAACTAATTTGAGAAAATTTCGTTTTCCTTGTTATATTTGACACTTGTGACGTAGTGTATAATTGGTTAATTTCTCTGTTGCCACCTATTGTACTTGATAATCTATTTGGTTTAAATGATTTATTGATTGATCAGTTGTAATAACTCGTGAGGATCGGGTTCATGGAAGTCTGCTTGTGTTAGCTGAACTACTTAGGTCAAGTTATTCAACAATTTAGCTAGTTACTCATTCATTTATCCATTAAATTTTTTAATCTGTAAGTTATATATACATTCAGCCATTTATTCTTTTATTAGTTCATTTATTAACTAATCCTATAATTTGCTTATATCTAGTCATTGAAAATTTAATTAGTCCTTTTATTCAGATATTTAGTTTCCCTCTCGATAATATTTTCTATTTAGCCAATGATCTTTTATTCCTCCTCAATACCAACTTATTGGTTCAATATCTTTTTCCATTTCCGAGAAAACACTCGTAGATTTTTAACTTGTTAATATTTTCAGGTTCTCGAATGCAGACTGGGAAGTGCTTAATAGGTAACAAGAATCTTTACGTGTTATTTTATTTGTTTTTAGATAAAATTGTGAAAACATCGCTTTTTTACAAAAAAAATGTTATTTAATTCTACAACAGGGTTACTTTTATCAATTTATTAAAACAAATTCCGCTCCTAATTTGATAAGGAAGCTCTAAGGAAACGCACAAAGTTAAGAAAAAGGTCGAAAAAGAAAACCGTTGTTATTTGTTATTAAAAACAGTAAATTGTAATGAATTTAATATAAGCCTCAACTAATCTGATTTCTACGGATGGATGGTTATTATTATTATTATTATTATTATTATTATTACAGGAACACGAACACGAACACGAACACGAACACGGACACGGACACGGTCATAATCATGGTCAATTAATCAATTGGTGTATTGTTCAGAGAACTTGATGATCTGTCAGGTTCGGGTCCCCCTGTTCTAGATACAGACATCAAGGAAAACATTCAAAACAATTCAAGTTTACATGAGTGTAGCTATTACTTCAATTGACCACCATATTAATTTCATCTCTGATTCACAACGGTACCTTCGCCATTTAATTCATTTAATTCATTTAATTCATTGCCTATTATTAATAAATCAAATTATCAATTAGAAATGATAAATTTTCAGATAGAAAAACACGGATATCTTTATCTTTATGCTTTGACAAAGGTTTAAAGGGTACCATTGTGAATCGAGTATGTAACTCCATGAAATGATGTATCATTTGAAATCACATATACAAACTCTTTCAGTCAGTTTTAATAACTTATTATATAGTCAGTTTGTTTTATAGCTTTAAAGAAACTGATGAAATGTTTGAAATGTTTTCAAACATCTAGGAATCGTACTTCACGCTCAACACAGTTAAGAAACAATATAAGCAAATTGCAGGTAAGGTTTTTAAAATCTCTTTTTGTCGTGAATCGGTTTTTTGTAATTGTTCATCTCAATTTTCAAGCAAAAAATCAATTTTAATAGAAAAAGCAGATTTTATTATTAGTAATGAGATGGGTACTGCGGGGTCGAGTGTCTTATCAGCAAAATTCGGAGAAGGACTTTACACCATAAATAAAAAATCATGACTGTCTCTGCTTTTTTATTTTGGAGGGGGGGGGGGGGACACATTGTAAAACATTTATTAAGCCAAGTTTACCCACAAAAGTTGAAACTTTAACGACGATCTAAAGGTTCAATTTAGATTTTTTTAAAAGGTACATTAAATGATCTGGCAAAGATAGAAACAAGTTTACATGTGAAGGATACTATAAATCTTAATTAAATTCCGAACAGTCGTCTCTGAAGTTTCATTCTTTGTGAGTAGCCCTGTACATATCTAAGGTTCTAAGCGAGCTGCTGGCGGTGTTACAACAATTCCATTTAACTGGTTTGGAACTGTTCCTGTGGGCAGAGAACCTATATTCGAGTCCGCTATCTGTAAAACATTACTCCAGGTGTGGTTTAAAATGTATTACCCCCCAAATTATATATGCCCCTGTTTATTTGTCCCTAAAAATAATTTATTTTACTTTTTTAACGGAGTGTTCGCGAAAAATGAAAGTGGGTATAGGCTTACTGCGAAAAATAAGCGCTTTTGATCGCTACTAATCTTACTTCTATCTGTTGCGTCTACAATTCGAATCATAAAAAAATAAATTTAATTCCAAACAAATCATTCAGATATTACAAACAATAGTCATCGATTATTTTTCGACGCATTCGTATTTAGTTAATATTTCATAATCTTTTTGATTTCGTTTTTTATAAGTAATATTTTGCTGGCGCTGGATATTCGAACATTCCTGGAAAATATGAAAATGTCGTCTCCATTATCAAAAATCCTCCAAACAGGAATAAATGTTTTCAAAAGTAACTATCAGATCATAAAAAATAAGAAAAATTATGAAATAATAACTATATATACGAATGTGTCGAAAAATTAACGATGAATGATTTGTTTGGAATTAAATTGATTATTTTACGATCCGAGTTGAATGTTGCAACTTTCTGAATTTGTATGGACGCTACGTCCTTCGGTATGAGTCGTTTTTAACAATTTTCTCCTTTTAAACGCAACAAATAGAAGTAAGATTAGTAGCGATCAAAGGCGTTTATTTTTCGCCGTAAGCCTATACCCCCTTTCATTTTTCGCTAACACTCCCTTTAAAGGGACTCTAAGCGTTTTTTAAAGTGACCCTCCATGTAAAGATGTCATACCCGATTCACAACGTTACTTTTTAACGATTTGTCTGATTAAGTGTGAATTAAATATCAATGTTTATTTTTTTGTAAACACATTTTTGATCAGAAGGTTCAAGGGTACCGTTTTGAATCGGACATTGTCATCTTTACCTGCAGGGTCTCTGGAATTTTCACTTACAGTCCCTTTAAACCCCCGTTCGAAATACTTGATGCTTTTCTTTTTTAATCATTCACAGAATCCTCTCTTGTACTTTATGAATCCTTTTTTATTTTTTAACTTGTCTTCAGGAGAAGTATGATGAAATTTGTGAGGCTGTATTCAATATCTCCAGGAATGCACAGCTTTGCAAGAATCCTCATGTTCAGGCATCAAATCTAGTCCGGTCAAGGTCATTTAGGGCAATTTGATTTTAGGTCAATATTTCTAAAGTTCAAGGTTATTTAAGGTCAAGGTTATTTAAGGTCAAGGTTATTTAAGATCAAGGTTATTTAAGATCAAGGTTATCTAAGGTCGAGGTTATTTAAAGTAAAGGTTATTTAAGGTCAAGGTTATTTAAGGTCAAGGTAATTTAAGGTCAAGGTCGAGTCCCCTTCAAAAATAACCGGTAAAGGACGGAAATTTATTTAGCACTTACCTTTCCACTGTACACTAACAGTCACCTTTCCACTGCACACTAACAGTCACCTTTCCACTGCACACTTACAGTCACCTTTCCACTGCACACTGACAGTCACCTTTCCACTGCACACTAACAGCCACCTTTCCACTGCACACCAATAGTCAACTTTCTATAGAACACTAACAGTCACCTTTCCACTGCACACTAACAGTCACCTTTCCACTGCACACTAACAGTCACCTTTCCACTGCACACTAACAGTCACCTTTCCACTGCACACTAACATTTACCTTTCCACTGCACACTAACAGTTACCTTTCCACTGTACACTAACAGTCACCTTTCCACTGCACACTAACAGTCACCTTTCCACTGCACACGAACAGTCACCTGGACTAGTTCATGCCAAAGTTATTTATTAATTTATACCCCAGAAAACACTTGAAAAAGGCTTGACTTGATGCCCCTCTAGAACGCATTAATCCCTCTGCTCCCTAAGCTGGCTGCCGCCAACAAGGAGAAGTTCGTCAAGTATCATCTCAAAGAGAGCATGCAGTACATCAACAGATGTTTACATGTTAGTAAACAAATATTTATTATTTTATTTATTTATTTCATTTTATTTAACACTAGTTTGGGAACCAAGCGTTGCCCAGAGTAATCATAGCTACTCCCGCCGTTTACCCGCGCTTGGTCGTTAATTGCGATTTTAGCTATTTTTCCTATAAAAATAGGCCCCACTCAACTTAGAACATCAAAACCAAGCTAAGAACATTCTCGTGGTTCTTCCGAGTTCCCCAGGCAAATCTGTCCAGGGGTGTATGAGTTATGATCGGACATACACACCAACAGAGATTCAACATTAAACATATTGATTCATCTATATTATTCAAATCCTGCGATTAACATTGAAACCCATTAATCTGTGGATAAGGGAGACGAGATTTCATTAGTCGATGTTGTTGTAAAGCAAATAGTTTAACCCATAGGTTGAAAATTAACCTACTTAAAGGGGTCTATGTACAATACCTGTGTTTTATGTTCATTCAGTTTATTTAAACTCATAACCTGAGTCGAACAGTCGTCTTCCTCTTCCACAGTTTTATTGATTCATCTATTCGTTCGTTCAACTCTCCTGAAATATTTATTAAAATAGTAATTTATGTTTGTTTACCTGTCTGTTTATTCAGTTGTATGTATCCGATCATAACTCATGTATCTCCTCACCAACTTGATTCAAATTTTGATTGGTGAAATCATTGGAATGTTCTTAGCTTGTAATAAATTGGTAAAAATTGTATTCATCCATTTAAATTGAAGCTGATAATTTAGAAATATAGTTTAGTTTAAAAACTGGAACTTTTGGGTCAGGTAATCGTTATTTTATAATAAAGATCTTTACATAACTTTGTTAATTTTAGAGTCGGGATTTCAGAGATCGGTATACAGCGTTACTATCTCTCGGGTTGATAGCTGTTGCTTCCGGTAGAGATATCGAGATATATCTTAGAGATATTCTAAATACACTCAGGTATTCATATTAGATACTTATATAAAAATATTGAGGTATATCTCAGAAATGTTCTAAGTACGCTTCGGTGTTTGTAAATATATGCACTATATAAAAATATTGATAAATTAAGATATTTTTAAGACACTCATTATATATAAATTTAGCTTGTCTGTCTGTCTGTTTGTTTGTTTGTATCTAATAAACGTCAAAACGGCTGAACCGATCGGGCCTAATTTTGCGTGGGACCTCACGTGACCCCAGGGAAGGTTTGTGAATGATCAAATTAAATAAAATTGTGTTTAAAAGTTTTTATTTTTGTAAAATTTTATCATACATCTTTCATATAAACGGAAGGCCGGGCTGAAAAATCAGGAATGGGGAGGACTTGAAACTCCAATCCACTCCAATCCCTGCAACTTATGATTTGATTTGATTTGATTTGATACCAAGCTTTTCATGGTTTCGTTGTGAATCGAACATGACACTCTCTAAATGGAGGGTAACTTTAAATTACGTCTACATTTCTTTTTCAGGAGTATATTACCGCAGAAAGATTCTCCTATGAAGAAAAGATCAACTATTCTTGATCCTGCAGTCTTTGCTTGTATATCTTTACTATCCAGGTAGTAAACACTATTCTTGATCCTGCAGTCTTTGTAGATCTTTACTATTAGTTTAATTTCCATTTTGGACATAAAATTTAGTTTTTACAGTTAAGTTTTATTAATTGTTATGTTTATTATACAGGGTGTCCTTATAATCTTGCTAATTTTTAAATTGTTTTAACTTTGTTATCGTTAAATATTTTCCAATGTGGAAAAAAAAGTTTGAGTATCAAAATATGAACGTTTTGTTTTATAACTGAATACACTTTGTTTCTTTAACAAGTGTTAAAATTTAAAAATGACCGCCATTTTCTTAAATGCACAATTTCGCCCTTGTGCGAAAATTGACTAAAACTCTCAGAAGTATTTCGGCCGCGTTGACGTTGAAGAGTAATAACTCTTCAACGAAAGAAGATATTGACAAATTTTAGAAACTCGGGTGTTACACTCGACCTTGGTAATCTTCGTGCAAAATTAGTTCTCCTAAACTGGTGTATAGGAAAACTGAATCTGTTTTGTTTTCTGCAATGCATGTTGCGAATATTTTGTTATATTGCATAACGTTCATATTACACTTGCTCAAATCTGTTTACAGACTGTAAAAATTGAAAAAATTGCAGAGAAATAGTTGTTTAAAAATTGTCCGAATTATATGGACACCCTGTACTTATCATTATTATTATCATTATTGTTATTACTAGAGCTGTAAAGGGAAGTATACGGGAGGAGATGAGGAATATGTTGGATAGTATGCTTGCTGTCGGTAATCTATATGTTTTCTTTCTGTCCGTCTTGTCTGTCTGTGTCTGTCTGTCTGTCTGTCTGTCTGGCTGTCAGTTGTATCCAATAAAATAGTCAACACGTCTAAACCGATCTATCCCAATTTTTGTTGTGGGACCTCACATGACCCCAGAGAAGTCTTATGGATAATTAAATTTTCAGAAATTAGCCTCCAACAAAATTTGATTTTCATTAAATATTAAAATTCCATAACTTTTTTTTATAAAATCCGCGAACTTTTTTGTCATTGTTTTACAATTTATAAAAGAGAAAATGTTCTCAATTGAAATAGAAGCCTAGTATATATTAAAGTAGTAATCTGTTTTGTCTGTTTGTTTGTCCGATCATAACTCAGAACCCATGGACCAATTTGCCTCAAATTTTTATTGGGGAAGTCGGGAGAACCACGGGAAGGTTCTTAGCTTGATATTGAGAGTCAAGTCGATTTTAGTAGCAAAAATTTAGTTTCCCGGTTAAATAAACCAAGTGCGGGTAAACGGCGGAAGTAACTATCAGTCACCTTGGCAACGCTGGTTTCCCAAGCTAGTAATATATATTTATGAAATACACAGAAGCACCCCCCCCCATTTTTCAAAAAAATTCATTTTATAAGGAATGGTTTTTGAAGCCTTATTAGGGATAAGAAATGAAAGTTTAAAGGGACGTAAAAGTTGTTATAAGTGACCCTTTATTATGTGACAAGTGACTTGTGACAAGTACAAGTGGCATGTGACATGTGACAAACGATTTACAACAGTACCATAAAAACCTTTGTCTTGTCAAGAATAGATGAGATACACATGATTTCCCTTTAAGAAAATTTATCATTTTAAAGTGTGGGTTCTCTACCAAAGTGACTTGCGGTTCTTGCTACAACGAAGAAAATTATGAGAAATAAACACTACAAGATATTATGATGTTTTTCACATTATTGATCAGATTAAAGTTTAAAGGGTACCGTTGTGAATCTTGCGTGCATGTTTGGAGGGTCTCGTTAAGATTTAAAGAGACAATCCCTTTAAATATATCCAATAGAGGGAATAAAAATCCAATACTTTATTTTTAACTTACAAATCGAAAATCATGTCTGTCTGTCTAGGTCTGTCACCGGCAGTAACAGCTGCTCTCCGGGAGCTGTCATTGAATATCCCTGCCCTAAAGAAGGAGATTGCGGATGGTCTTCTCAAGATCCTCTCCATCATACTGATGCAGCAGCCATTCCGTCATCCAGGTATACATTCCGTTATTCAGGTATAAATTCCCTCATCCAGGTATACATTCCGTCATCCAGGTATTCCGTTATACGTATTTGCTTTCCGTCATTCATACATGCAGTTCGTCGTCCATGTGTTTAGATATTCCGTCATCCATGTGTTTAGATATTCCGTCGTTCATGTCGTTTAGATATTCCGTGATCCATGTGTTAAGATATTTCGTCGTCCATGTGTTTAGATATTCCGTCATCCATGTGTGCATTCCGTGATCCAGGTGCATATACATTCTGTCATACATAATTACATTCTGTCATCCATAAAAACATTTCGCCATCTGTTTTTGCATTCCGTCATCAATATATGCATTTCGTCATCCATATATGCATTCCGCCATTTGTATATGCATTCCGTAATTCCATATATTCATTCATACATCCATATTTGAATTTTGTCATCCATAAATGCATTCCATCATTCCTATATGTGTTCCATTTCAGGAACCCCTAAACATAGGATTGCTCCAACCCAGCTTAATATTGGTAAGTTAGTATAATGATACAAGCTTTAAGATTTTATTTGTAAACAATAAAAATATTTTGAATTTTAACTGTCGACGTAGTTTAAAGTGGTTCCTTATTTCAAGAATTGCAAAACCGATGAAAAACGATTGTTGCAGAATTTGTTGGTTTTTTGCAAAGTTCCGCTTCGTTTTTGCTTCCTTTTGAAAAAACTATTTTAGCGAAATTTTGCGAAAGAAAGTTTTTGCAATGAGCCAAAATGAGGGCGATACCGTTGTTTTTCTGTCAGAAAAAGTGTTATTTTTTGATGATTTCTTTTATCAATTTTCAGCGAGATAAGCAAGGACAATTCATGCATCCTTGATCCGAGGCCGAATTTAAAGAATTTGAGCCTTGGCTTAAAAATGGTTGGTTCCACTTAAAAAAGGTGTACTCAATGTTTCATGAATTAAGCCGGCGCTCAATTGAAACCGGTTTTTGGTGGAATTTAGATGCGGCTCAAATTTATTAGATTTAGACTCAGACAAAAGAATCGCACACGACACTAAAAAAACTCTAATTCAGAGCCACCTGATTCACAGAAAGTTGTCCTTGGGCTTAGAACACTCGGATCATTCGACTTTGAGGCCCATTCTCTCTTACAGGTGTGTGCCTTAACCAATCACTAGGTACCCACAAAGGATGAGACTTATGAGACGACTTCACGGAATTAACTTAATTTTTTTTCATTTCCTGTTTTTTTTCTTGACTGAATCATTCAAAAAATTTCGCTTCAAATAGTTTTTTTGTGGGTAACCCTGTATCAAAGTTGTTTTTTAAAGTTTAGATTCCCTGGATGCGCTCCAATGTACAGCAAATGTCGTCTTCATAGCAAAGGACACTCAAAATCCTCATACGACGTAGCTGATTATTGGCGGAAGATGAATGACAACGTTGATGGTGAGAGAGGGAAGAATTTTCTCTGACAAGAGCAAGCGGAGAAAATAGCTCCTCTCCCCCGCCCCCTCTCACAAGCAAGGATACCACTTCATTTTCCGACAATTAGTTATGTCATATGAGGGTTTTGAGTGTCCACTGCTATGAAGACGAAACTATATAGTACATTGAAGATCAGTATCTAACCTTAATAAACAAACCTTTATGTATGTATCCTAAAACATTTTAAAGATTTAGACCAAATAGATTTTTAACCATAAATCAAACAATTATTATTTAGTTTGTGAGACATTGTGCTGACACCTATCTACACTCTGAGGAGAAAGAAATTAGATTAGAAGCTGTTAGAACCTGTTCCTCTCTTCTTAGGTTAGATTAGATTAGATTAGATTACACATTTTCCAAAATCAACTAATACCGATGTTTGCCGAAGTCGGCCAATAGCAATGTTTTCGGAAATGGAAGAAAAATTATAGTTCATGAAACAGACGAAACCGATATTTTTCAAAATTAACGAAAAACGTCGTTCTTTACGACAGTATTTTTTTATCCCATCATCTACAGAGTGACATGTTCCATCCAGAAAAGGACCCGTAAAAGCTTTTAATGATCAAGAATGCAGAAGATATACATGACTCAATGAAAATTGATTATTTTCAACTGTGGTTTCTCTATTTAAGTGTTTTGCTAGAGCTAAAGAAACGACGATATCTTCGAAATTATTGATTTTATTAAAACAGAATTGCTGTTTATCTTTTTAAATAGAGGGTCACTTAGAATTGTAACGACAGTCCCCTTAATCAGCTTTTACATTTAAATTAATCAATATATTCTTTTTTTACACCATGGTTCATCCTTTAATCTCTTTTTAAAATTGTAATCATTCTCTTTAAGATCTGCGTTAAATGGACTGGCCGGGAAGAAGTCTCCCACAGTGATTTCAACGATCAACGAGGTTTTGGCCAAACTTCTCATAGGGACATATATACATCAATATTAGTTAGGGATAGGGGGGGGGGTCACTATTTCTCCAATTTCAGGATGCCTGGGGATATTATTTAGCTTTAGGGTAATTAAAGTTAATGTTTCAATTTCAGTTTAAGAGGGATAATACCTCAATTATTTGAGGTCTGTGGGTTCCATTGTACGGGTTCCCTCTAATGGGATTAGATTGCGGCATTTCCTAATCCCCCCCCCCCCCGGATCTTCCTCTAATTCACATCTAGTCAAGATATTTGTTTTCAAAAACTCCTTATTGAAGGAAGCAATGGTTAATCTCTCTCTCTATATATATAAGAAAATAAGTATTCAAAACATGATTTGAAGTTTTATTGTATCAACATTATGTTTCATGCTATGCATTCTTCCGAATACTTTACACTTTATACTTTATATATATATATATATATATATTTTGTTTTATGCAGGGAAGGTTTATGGCGAATTTAAAAAAGTTTGCCAAGAAAAAAGGCCGATAAAAATTAAATCCATGAAAACAATTTGAAAAACATTTTTTTTGCAAAATAATTTTTATGAAGTGGTGAATTGAAATTATCATTTAAAAGCTAAAATTCTTACAAGAAAAAGGCCCATAGACAGATCGATATATATTTTTCGGCTAAAATCACAATAAATAGATACATTTTGAATATCATAATTTATAAATAAAAAATTATTACCCAGGGTTGCTATAGCCTAACCATTCCTGGTTGTTATGATTGGCTGGCCCTCCAGAATTTTATACAAACATTTAATTTGTTTAAATTAACAAATCTATATATATAATAAAACAAGACATTCGTATGTTCCCTACAGCCGGCCAAACGGCTGAACCGAATGGACTGAATTTTTTTGAGGGAACCCAGGAATACTAAAAAATTAAATTTGTTTTTAATTCCACGGGCTAAAAGGAATGATGTATAATGATGGTGTTTAGTTGGTATAACTGACGGAGACGGAGATATTAGATACTGTGTTCTTGACAGTCTCAGTTTCTTAGACCTTGATCCAAATTCTGATTGATTGTTTTATTTGATTAATTGATTAGGAAAACTTTGATCCAGCTTCTGATTGATCTGGAACACTCAGGACTGGGAAGAAACAAGGAACAGGCCTCAAAACTTCTGGGACACCTTGTTGCTAATGCTCCAAAGTAAATTCAATTCATACTTTTAAATTTGAAAAATGTTGATATTTGGATTTGTAATGTTTACACTTAAGTCGAAAAATTTGCAAATTTGCTTCTTCTTAATTTTTACAGGGTTTTCAGAAGAGTAATTTAGAAAGCGTTCACAACTGCTTTATTTCTTCTATTCCCATAATTCTGTGTTTTAATTTAGGTTTTATTTTATTTATTTTATCGATGAAAACGAGTTAAATTAAGTGACAGTCAACAATTAAAATAGATTTTTCATAAATCCTAAAATTGGAAATAGTAAAAGGAATTTTAGCAAATTGGTTTTCGTAATTGAGGGAGAATGAAAGCATTCGTCAGATAGATCACTAGACTATTCTGAGACACGCTTGTACTGAAAGATGGAGCCCTAAAATGTATCCAGAAGAATTTCTGTGTCTATACATTCTTTGAAATGTATAATTTATCCAAAGAGTTATTATTATTGCTTTGTTTTTCCTGTCAACTAAAATGCTCTTTTACAGGCTCTGTCAAAAAACAAGGGAATTAATTGAAAACTTCTTTTTTATCTATTTTCTATTTTTCGTGAATAAATGGTATCAGTATTCCATTAAAACAAAACTTTTAACACTTATGTTTACAACTCTGGGGATTTCCAAATGTTGTTTATCATATTAAGAAATTTGTCCAGTCTTCAATTTATTAAATAAAAGCAAAATTGTTGAATTGTTCACTATTTCAGTTAATCTTGAAGAAATAGAAAAGGAAGACTACAAAAGCCAATTCCCATGTTTATTGAGACACCCTGTATTTTTTTACTGAATCTCTTCTGTTCCTTTAATTCTGTTAAGTTATATTTTGACTTAGTTTTTAGTTTGAAATTATGACTTAATTTTGTTTTTCTAATTAGTGTTTCCTAGGTTGATAAGACCGTATGTGGATCCTATTCTGAAAGTATTGATCCCAAAGCTCCGCGGAACGGATCAGAATCCTATGGTGGTTGCCTCTGTTCTCCGAGCTATTGGAGATCTTGCTCCGGTAGGATTAATAATCCTGTTCATCAACAGTTCTTTTGATATTTTCTTACTCCAAACACAATTTCAATTTTTTTTTCCTATTGGTAAATTTTTAAGTAGAAACCTGATTTACCATTCTACTAATAAGAAGATTTTAACAATATCATATTAGTAGCTGACACTTTAATCGTGTGTACAATGTACATATTATTTACTTTTTACAAAAATTGTTATTAAAATTAATTGCATTTTTATGTTTTAATGTTTATTTTGATAATTGTTTTGTTTAGGTTGGTGGAACTACTATGCGAGGATATGTTGACGAACTGCTCCCGATCCTTCTGGAGTTCCTCACTGATGCTTCTTCATCTCAAAAGAGGGAACTCTCTCTTTGGACCCTGTCTCAGTTAGTCGAGAGCACAGGTCTGCTGTCCTAGTATGTTATACTCCACTACTGTTCTGTTATCCTTGTATGTTTACCTCCACTTCTGTTCTGTTATCCTTGTATTCTGTTTGGGTCTTTTGTTTGTTTGTTCGTTTGTTTGTTTGTCCGATCAGAACTCAGGAACCCCTGGACCGATTGGCCTTAGATTGGGGAACTCAGGATACCCACGGGAATGTTCTTAGCTTAGTTTTAAGATTCTAAGTTGTATGGGTCGACTTTACTAGCAAAGATTTTGTTTCCCGGTAAAATCGTTCAAATGCGGGTAAACGGCGGGAGTAACTATGAGTAACCTGGGCAGCGCTGGGCGGCTGGGTTCCCAAGCTAGTGTTATATATTCCTCTGCTGTTCTGTTATCCTTGTATGTTATATACTCCACTCCTGTTCTGTTATCCTTGTATGTTATATACTCCTCTGCTGTACTGTTATCCTTATACGTTTTATACTCCTCTGCTGTTCCGTTATCCTTGTATATTATATACTCCACTCCTGTTCTGTTATCCTTGTATGTTTAACTCCACTTCTGTTCTGTTATCCTTGTATATACTCCTCTGCTGTGCTGTTATCCTCGTACGTTATATTCTCCTCTGCTGTTCTGTTATCCTTGTATGTTATATACTCCACTTCTGTTCTGTTATCTTTGTATGTTATACTCCACTTCTGTTCTGTTATTCTTGTATAATATACTCTCCACTTCTGTTCTGTTATTCTTGTATGTTATACTCCACTTCTGTTCTGTTATCCTTGTATGTTATACTCCACTTATGTTCTGTTATTCTTGCATGTAATAAATACTCCACTATTGTTCGTTTGGTTGGTTAGTTGTTGGTTGGTTGGTTGGTTGGTTGGTTGGTTGGTTGGTTGGTTGGTTGGTTGGTTGGTTGGTTGGTTGGTTGGTTGGTTGGTTTTTTTGTTTTTTTGTTGATTGATAGACTCCCTCTTATTTAGGATGTGTTGTTGAACCTTACAACAAGCATCCCCAGCTTCTAGTTGATCTACTAAATTTCTTGAGGTACAGAAAAAAGACGTCCGCCATTTTTAGAAAAATTATTCTTTTGTTAAAAATTCACAGATATATCATTTTCCATTATTTTGGTTGAGCTTAGTTAAAGCAAATTTGAAATATCAAGGATTTGTGATTTTAGAAAACATGTTAATTTCTACAGCTAAGAAAAGCTAGAACTTGGCCGCCAATACAGAATCCAGATAGATAGTGTCATAAAACCTTTTTTCTGGCATTACTTTAAAGTAGACACTTTTACGATTAGTAGAACTTTCCTTATTTAAAGAGTCATTTGAAATCCCTTTAAATCATTTCAACTTCAGGACCGAGCAACGTCCTCAGATCCGTAAGCAGACAATATCTCTGCTTGGTCTACTGGGTGCTCTGGACCCGTACAAGCACAAGATCAACCTCGGGCAGATAGACACCAAGGGGACAGAGAACGCCCCCCTCATCCCCATCAACAGCGAGGAGGATAAGGATAAGGAGGTGTCAACCAGTGAGATGTTGGTGTCTAACGCTACCCTCACCTTAGAAGAGTTCTATCCTAGTGTCGCTATTGCTACATTGATGAGGATTATTAGGGATCCTAATCTTCATCAACATCATAATCAGGTCAGGGGGTCTTCTTTTTCATGTCAAGGGGCATTTTCTTCATATTGTAAAGAACAATTTTCTTATATAGTTCCATGTTGGACAATTTAGAAGAGAGAGTTTTAAGAAAGTAAATGTGAAAGATGTCGTGTTAGAGATATTCGGTAAAGTCAATTCCCTGATTATTCGCGGAAATAGATAATTCCCCCCCAAAATTATCTAATTCTTTTTTAGTTTCAATGCATTTTTTAAGTATTTGAAAAAATATTTCAATTCGTGGATTTGAAAAAAAATTCTTTTGAAAAATGTTTTTTGTTGACAGAGATTTCTTGTTCCAACAGTTGGCTTCCCTGATAGGAATAGTGAAGCAGCATATTAGAAACTATCTTGATGATATATTTGATATGATTAAGGTACTGCAACATTTATCTATCTATCTATCTATCTATCTATCTATCTATCTATCTGTCTTTCTATCTAGGAGTTCTGACTCCCCCTTGCAATCCACTATAATCCTACTAGTGGAGTCTATATCTATCTATCTAGGAGTTCTGGACTGCTGACTCCCCCCTGCAATCCACTATAATCCTACTAGTGGAGTCTATATCTATCTATCTAGGAGTTCTGGACTGCTGACTCCCCCCTGCAATCCACTATAATCCTACTAGTGGAGTCTATATCTATAGCTCTTCAGTCTGAGTTCAAAATTTATCTACCCCAACTTATCCCTCATATACTCAGAGTACTCACTCATGACAGTAGCAGAGATAGACAGGTAAGAAGGATATACATTTTGATGGATAACCCCCCCCTCTCCTCCTCAAAGCTTGCCAAAAAATCTGCAAAGCTAAATTGAGGTAAGGAAAGATAAAAAATTGAAGAAAAAATACGTTATTTTGAACTCTAATTCACGATATATTACGAACTTTTAATTCCTGTTCTTTCTTACAAAATTGAATCATTTAAAGAAACTTTGATCCTTGCCAGATTCACAAGGTACCCTTAAAAGCTTTTTCTGATCAAGTATAAATTAGATATCCAATAATATCCATGATAAAATATATATTTTGAAAACTGATTATTTTTAATTTTATATCTACAAAAGAATTAATTAGAACACCCATAAACGTCTGATTTGATTTGATTTGATTTGAATTAAACACTTTGAAATCTAGAAAAACTACAATATCTTCCATATTATTAATCAGATAAAGGTTTCAAGGGTACCATTGTGAATCTTTGCATGGAAGGTCACTTAACATTATGCATGCATTCCCTTTTAGGCATAAAATGAATAGGTTTAGGTTAAATAATAATCAGATTTTTAAGCGATTGTTTTTTTTTCTTTCCATCCTTTTCTAACCTTGATAGTTGATAGTACATGATGCTTGAAGGTAACACACAAGATGTTGGCTGCCCTGAACAACTTCGGTCCCACCCTGGACGACTATATCCATCTTGTCCTTCCACCGATGGTTCGCCTGTTTGATTCCTTGGATGTACCCTGGTCTGTAAGAAAAGCATCCTTAGATGCCATTGATCATCTTTCTTCAAGCCTGGACTTCTCAGAATATGCAGGTATAAGGGTGATTGAATGTAAGGAAGGATAAATGAATGGATGAAGGGATGATGAAATGTGTGAATGAATGCATTAATAAATGCATAAGGAATGTAGAATGCATGTATAAATAAATTAACGAAATGATGATGGAAGAAATTCATGAATATCTAGGACGGATTATACATCCCCTGGTGCGGTGTATAGACAACTGTCCTGAACTCCGTCCTGCTGCTATGGAAGCACTCTCCTCCCTTGCTCTACAACTGGGGAAGAAGTTTAAGATCTTCATCCCAATGATTGACAAAGTTCTCAAGAAGCATAGGATCTCACACTCAGAGTATGAACTCATTGCTGCTCGTGTGCTGAAAAGCGGATCTTCCTTTGAGCTAGAGGACCAAACTTTGTTGAAGTTTCAGAAGCAACGGGCAAACCATGCACTTAAGATGCCGGCACCTGAGGCTAGTTCTTCCAAGAAACAGTACAAGGTATCTCCTATTAACCTAAAGCGAGCTTGGACTGTAAGTACCCGTGTTAGTAAAGAGGACTGGATTGAGTGGCACCGAAGATTCTCAATTGAGCTCCTCAAGGAGTCTCCGAGTCCTGCCCTACGGGCCTGCTGGACGGTAGCTCAGCAGTATACCCAGCTTGCCAGGGATCTATTCAATGCAAGCTTTGTCTCCTGCTGGGTGGAGCTAGAGGCAGGACAGCAGGATGAGCTAATGGCCAGTCTCGAACAAGCTCTACTAGTTCCTGACTTACCAGAAATTACTCAGACTATTCTTAACTTAGCAGAGTTTATGGAACACTGTGACAAGGGTCCACTACCCCTAGACACAAGTCTACTAGGACAGCAGGCTATGAAGTGTAGAGCATATGCTAAGGCTCTTCACTACAAGGAAACAGAGTTCCACAAGGAACCCAGTGTTCCCGTACTGGAGTCTCTGATCTCCATCAACAACAAGTTGGGGCAGACTGAAGCTGCTGCAGGACTGCTGGAGTGGGGACAGAACAATCTTCAGGGGGATCTGAAGGTCCGAGAGCGCTGGTATGAGAAGCTACATGAATGGGATAAAGCACTTGAAGCGTATAAGCGAAAGGAAACTAGTTCTGAAGGACCCATAGATCCCCAGATACTGCTGGGACAGATGAGATGCGTGGAAGCGCTGGGAGAATGGAGCGAGCTTCATAGTTTGTCACGCACACACTGGGACACTGTTAATGACGAGACACGGCAGCGTATGGCCCGCATGTCAAGTAATGCTGCTTGGGGGAAGAAGGATTGGTCAAGTATGCTACAAGCTGTAACCCTACTTCCTAGGGATAGCCAGGATGGTGCGTTTTACCGCGCAGTCTTGAGTGTGCATAATCAGGAGTATGAGCATGCGCATCAGCTGATAGATTTGACCAGGGATATGTTGGATACTGAGCTAACTGCGCTTTCAGCTGAGAGCTATCAACGCGCCTATCCTATAATGATTCAGGTAAAAAATCATTACCAGTGCTTGTTATCATTTTAACGTCCTAATACTAAAAAATGCCATTTTAACGCCCTGATACTAAAAAATGCCATTTTAACGTCTTAATACTAAAAATCACATTTATCATTCTAATACTAAAAAATGCCATTTTAACGCTCTAATACTAAAAAATGCCATTTTAACGTCTTAATACTAAAAAATGACATTTTAACGTCTTGATACTAAAAATGCCTTTTTAACGTCTTAATACTAAAAATGTTATTTTAACGCCATAACTCTAAAAAATGCCATTTTAACGTCCTAATAGTAAAAAATGACATTTTAACGTCCTTTTACTAATTAATAGTCAATTTAACGTACTATTACCCATAATGTTTAACATCTGCTAACACAGTCCTAATAACAGGTGCAGATGTTGGCAGAGTTGGAGGAGGTTATGGAATACAAACTTGTTCCAGAGCGAAGACAAACCATCAGGTATTATCAATTCTTCTTCGTTTACAGCTGAGCTGAGCTGAGCTGAGCTGAGCTGAGCTGAGCTGAGCTGAGCTGAGCTGAGCTGAGCTGAGCTGAGCTGAGCTGAGCTTATTTATCTATCTATCCAGGGAGATGTGGTGGAGTAGACTACAAGGTTGTCAGCGTGTTGTGGAAGACTGGCAAAGAATTCTCCAGGTGGGTCAACTCAACACACTGGTTTTTTCTCCTTTTTTATTGTTTTTTTTTTAAATACAATTTTTATCAAATAGATGATATAAAGATATATTTTAGTATTGTTGTAATTTACACAGTGTAAACTGTACACTGCATGGAACATGTAAAGTGTACTGTATAGTGTACACTGTACATTGTACAGTGTACAGTTAACTTATATCATTTTGAATAGCTTCCTTTGCAAACTGTAAACCCTTATTTCAATCTCATCTTAGTATAGTCATGGTGAGATTATGATTTAGTCTAGGGCGTCCTTAAAAGTCAGATTCATTAAGTCAGAATTCTTCCTGAAAGTAACACAATGAGGTGGTTGTTTCTTATGGGAAATTGTACATTTTGGGGAGGTGCCTCTTGGGAAGTTATTTACCACCGGTTGTCCATCAGAGTGGTTGCAATTTGGAAAATAGGGTAGTTCTAACCCTTGGAAAAGCGTACATTCGGGTAGTCAGGAAACCTGGAAAATGAACATTTAGACTTTGTAAATTGTTCGTTAGGGTAGTTGCCACTTGAAAAATTGTTCATTTGGGAAGTTTCCAATTTGGGAATTTGTACTTTAGAGCAGACTATGTTGGAACCCAGCTTTGCCTGGGATTTTCCCTTGAAAAGTCGACCTATTTATGTTAGAACTTTTAAACCAAGCTAAACACATTCATGTAGTTCTACCGAATTCCCTATCAAAATTTGAGGGAAATCGGTCAAGGGTTTCATGAGTTATGATCAGACATACAAACAAACAAACAAACAGACTAACAGAGACACTAAAACAATTCATTTTTTGATTGATTGATTGTAGGTGAGGTCCCTGGTCCTTGAGCCAGTAGACCATCAAAGAACCTGGCTCAAATACGCCAGTCTATGCAGGAAACAGAACAGGCTCAAGCTCAGTCATAAAGCTCTTGTCAGTATACTTGGAGTAGATCCTTCATTGAACCTAGATCTTCCTCTACCTACATCTATACCTCAGGTAGTGTTGTTAATTGTTTTGAAACCACAGATTAATTGATTTTCAAAGTTGAAAACATTGATATCTCATTCATTCCTGATCAGATTAAGCTGTTGAATTTACCGTTGTGAATTGAACATGCCACTCTAGAAATAGAGGATCACTGGAAATTACCTCTGAGCACCTTTTTTTAACCGAACTGTCCAAAAATAATCAAACATTTTTTTTAGAAATTTCAAACTAATTTGTTTAGGCGAGTCTAGCGTACTGCAAGTATCTGTGGGGTAGTGGCAAGAAATCTGTTGCATTCTCTCAACTTCATAATTTTGTTAAAAAGTTCCTAAATCCTCGTTGTGTACAGGTAGGCATATTTAATAGACATTTTTATTGTCAACAAATTTAAATTTAAAATTCTCAATTTAAAAAAACAGCAAAATCGTGATGATAATTCTATTATTGGTTTCCCTAAAATTAGTTTTCAAATAACTTTAAAAATAAATTTGTATTTTTGACAAGATTTATGTATTCTTCTTTCCTGATTTCCTTTTCCAGAAAATGTTATTTGATTTCGACAAAATATATATATATATTTATAATCAATTAATATATATATATATTAGGGTCGCCCTAATTTATATGTTCTTGAGCATTTAATAGATTGGGGGTAAATTTAAACTCAAAAATTAACAATTGTTTTTCTTTCACAAAGTTGTGTGAAGCAATGAAAAAATCATAAAAATGTCTAATATAAAAGGGGTGCGCACTGCGTGGAAAGTATTTACTAAAAATTCAACTTTTAACTCTTTTTGATTCTATTCCCATAAACTCTTCATGTTACATAAATATTTGTTTTTTAAAAAAAAAGAACTTT